TAGATCTACCGAGAAAGTAAAACACATTACATATGAAAATGTAATACGACTAGTTCAAAGGTATGTGGTAAGAAAAGTGCTGAGAAGTGTGAAGTTTGAAACTGTTATTAAACGCTAGTACAAAGTGGATGTCGCAAAGGAGGACTGGATGGCGCACAGCTAATGTGTTAATGAACTGAATAGTACACAACCAATGTAAGTGAAGCATTGGAATATACACAGCTGATGTGGTAATGTTGGCACAGTAATTTTATTTTAAACATTATGCACAACTAATGGGTGTGTTTGTGATTGAATAGTTACTAACCGTTGTCGATCACCACCATCCACTAAAATGTCATCTATATGCTTATCGATCTGGTCTTTCACAGACATTTGTTTTATTTCGTTTAGCTTTGATTTAATATAGTACCATATCTCATTCACACCATTATCTACTCTTCGCCGGAGTTTCTCATGGTCAGCAGAAGGTTCATTGCAAAGTGGTACCTCTCTTTTTGTTTTTTCATCTGAAAATATGAAATACATAAGACAGTTCTAAAAATGACGAAAGACATGGCAAGTACAACCAATGTGAGATATTCTAGCAGTGAACTGTCAATGAAGGAGTGAATTGTTCACATTGTAGTCAAACAATACGAACATGCTCAACTTAAAATATCATCAGTGAATCAACATGAGCTAACGTGTGTTGTTCTTAACCAGAACATGTGCATAATACTGTTAATAACAGCAGCATTCTTTCAGTCTTTGGATATAAATGTTTTTAAGACTATTCACCGTGTACACCCAGTTGCTCAAATCATCTACTTTTTTTATAGAATAGTAGCACATAAAACACGTCATTAAACGGCACAATCACAATCAAATATCTTAAATGGTGCAGCATTTGCGAGTTTAGTTTGAATATAATCCGCGTACACATATCAAAGTTGTGCTTCAAAATATTGAATAACTAAACTTAGAAACAGAACTTAATAATATGGTTCTAGAATAACAAAAAAAGTTTTTCATTTATATGACATATGTGTAATGATTGAACATGATCGACCTGGACATGTCACAGACTCGGAAAATGTATTTCTTAAAACAAAATGAACACAAGGCAGCTGTTTTCTGATCTGCTTGACGAAGTTATATGCATAATGGCCCAATAATGTTCAATGTATGCATTAAGTTTGAACGATCATTCATAACCGAGATCTAGTTCTTGATTTTGATGTATATTTAGAACTGAAATGGCCGTTATCCAGCCATTTTGAATTTAGTTATCTTACAATGAGTTACATGTTAATACCAACAACAAAACGATCGGCACTCTTTGGAGGATTACATAATAATATATACACCATTAAGCTAAATGTTAATACTAATACTAACAATATAATGATAATACCAGGTAACAATGGTTACTCACCAGATATTTGAGATAAGTCAGCAATTTGCTTTTGTGCACTGTCCAACTGTTGTTGCAAAATCTTCAGTATCTCATCTTCACTCTTTTCAGAAGCCCCTCGTAATAGGTCAACCTCTCTATGAATGGATAACAAACTATATATAAGGTGATTTATATCTATGGATGAAATGCGAATGACATCAGGTGAAAAGAGACTGGTGAATTTATTGGATGTGTTGAATGCAAGTTTAAGTTTAACATAATAAAATTAAAGGAAAGGAGTACCTACAGTTAGGAAAGGAGTACCTACAAAAATGTCGATAGTTTATGACCTCGTTAGTTTCTTGGATGAGGCGTGTTTGTAAATACGCAAATCAGGTAACGGCTCATAAAACCTGTACTTTGTCATTTGCGCCATACTAGTGATGCCGAAAATGACAATTGGTGGAATGTATGTATTTGGTAAATTGCAGATTTGAAAATTATAAAGAAACATTGTTGAATATTTCTAAGTATAGTTTTGTGAAAATACAATTCTGACAACTTTGAGGTTGATGATAATTCTACAAGAAGGAAAGACCGATTTGAAAAATAAATAAATGTAGTGTGAAACAATATATGTTATGTCCATATTAATAAACACAATTTGGAAATGATGTCTAAATAGTCGGAAACATAATTAAGTTGGAAGCTTTGGTCAGTGAGTCCAACAAAAGATGTAGACCAACAAACTGGTAAGTTAGTTGGGATGGCAAATGATGCTAGAGATGAGGCCCTGATAATTATAAATAAATTTAGCTGAATGATTGAACAGTTGAACCATGAAGCACAACAAGAGACGAGGACCAATAAATCGAAAATTGGTTCCCCAACATAACTATTTAATCTAGATATTGACAATGAAAATTCGTCAAGTTTACTACCAAAAGGAAACTACAACTTGTGATTTAGAAACATTCGTGTTTGCTGTATCGGAGGATGCGTTATCCCGGTATGGGGGGTCAGCAATTAGCATGAAAGAATATACTAACCTGAGCTCATTTCCATGTTTTCGAAGTTTTTCATTTTGGTTCGTCATGAAATCGATTTCACTGATCATTTTGACGCAAAAAAGTGTACCGATAACATACATCCATAATGTCTTCATCCTATTAGAAATAGACAATTGTAATGAACTGTGGACGAATGCTTTAAGAATTATAATTAAAAAGTGGTCATTATACTGGGAATGAATAACAGATATTTTCAAAACAATTAGCACACTTGGAACACGCTTGCCACTTAGGCAGCTTAAATTACCTTCTGCTATGGCAAGCAATATACAAATACAATCTATTTAGAACTGGTGAACAATTTGGTTAGGGATTGACCATGTATTATTCCTGGGGGTCGGGCGTCAGCATATTTACCAAAGCCACAAATGCGGCAGTGACTTTTTATCAAGGCTGAAGAGGGCGAATATTTTTCTCTTAAAGATTGAGACACAATTTTTTTTTTACTTTACGCCTTCTTTACCAATTATCAACTAATAACTAACACTTAGTCCAGTATTGTCAAATCAGTTAGAATACACGAAGAAATATTACAATGGCTCACCCTGAAAAAATATTGTGGCCATGTTGCAAAAATCAATAAAATACATGAAGATAGATTTGTTGGCCTTGGGTGCATAACCTTGTTCAGTGACTGTTCTAATTTATAACATGGACTTTCTGCAGGCAAGTGAGTAGAACTGTTAATATAAATTTCAAAATATTATATGTCAATTTGTGTATTTTTACTTCACAGAAATTAATTCTGCATTTTTCGAGGCGACCGTTTTATCTCTACTGTTTATAGTGAAACATTTTATCTGATACAGATATATCCACAAATTAGACTGAAGTTCTCCTCTCACTAAATAATTTTAAATAATAAAGTATTTTTGTTTCTTTATATATACATGTAAAATATCAATAAAAATACATGAATATATATATATTTAAGAGGGGTTACAATTTTTTCATTTTTTCTAAAGGGGCGCCCTCTTTCACAAAATGAATAAAGAGAGGGTCCATTCGTTTTTTTAAACAAGCACAGAGAATTGCCCGACTCCCCTTAGGAATAATAAATGGTCATTCCCTTGAGCCTTTAATTGTGCAAATAAGTCACGAATGCAGCAACCGACCTTACATTGAGCATGTTGCTTAACTCATCTACATAGGCATTCAAAAGTTATTGGTACAAGAGACCACCTTTTCTAACATTATATGCACCAAACTTGATTAGAGTACACATCTCCCCATCTAACACACATCTTCCGACTAAAATACCAGTATTTCATTAACCTGATAATATAACCATATAATATATATAACACATTGTCACTTAGAATACCATTGGAAAATGTGGTGTACACTTTTAAGTTCTGGAAATAAAGAAATCTTATTCTCATTGGAAAATTACAAATTACTGATTCATAGGCAATCTGCAAAATAATATACCTAATACGCCTAACCAATACACCCGATACAATTTTGTCTTAAGTGATCACATATTATTAGACGATGATTCAAAAGAACACACAATGATGTCAGATTTTAATATTCCAGACGTATTTTATTCTGAAGAATTCATTTCGAATCCAAATAACTGAAAAATATGCGGACCCCACATTCACTAGTGGAAATATTTGTTCACGAACATATAAACAAGAAATATAATTTGTTAAAATATTACTTATTTAAAAATTCTACTGTGATTTCCGTAATCACATGTATTACTCATAAAGCAAAGACGGTACCGATACTACCATCTATTTCTTACTGCATTATTTTTCAGAAGCATGTTAGATATTTATCAGTTTTGCCAGTAAAGTGATTCCTATCCGGGCTGTTTACCAAAAGTGTTCAGACCATTAACATGCGCCGTACAAAACAAAACTGAATCATGACCTTAGGTATGGTTTACCTTCAAATTGCAATTGGGGCAATGAATTAATGGTTTTATTTTAGTACAGATGAAATCCTTTTCATTAGGAAATATGTCAGTGTCCCTTACCCTTTACCCTTTCAATCTCATTAAAGTCTGATGTATTGTACATCATTATATTTAATTTACATTTATATATTTTATTGTTACTATATTTTTATTATGATGGCTTTGGCGTGTGATTGTTACAGTTATCTCCCGCCATTTTTTTCGTCAACCTTTTCTACACTGTTTGACCAATCAGCTTGAAATTTGACATGATGGTAAAAGTTCTGATCACACAGGTCACCAGGCCAGGCCACCATCTTGAATTTTCAAATACTTCCAATTTGCATAACTTTGGTATGATCTACTATTTATGAAATATTTTGAAAGACCAAATGAGATTTTCTGAATTTCCATAGGTTATAAGCCGTTCTGAAGAAGACGACTTTTAAATGATTTTGTTTTACTTATTTAAGTATACAGTACATTATTGGGAACTGGTGATGTCTCCAGTATGTACTGTATATTCAATAGGCAACATATTACTTTTGGAAATCGCACTCAGAATTTGTGTTTTAAGATTCTTCAGTAATGGTTATCGCAGGGGTAAATGGTTTATGTCATGTGACCTCTTTAATGTGCATAACTGTAATACACCAAGGACTATAGCAATTGGAGCAATTGGACAAGAGCTATGACTAATATATTAAATGACTAAATATGGCCTTGTGACTTCATTAAATATGCATAATTGTCATAACTTTTGCAACAAATGCTTTAATGAACATATCAGACAACAGACATAAATCACAAATCTTATGATCATATTGTGTGAGTCATGTGATCTCATTGATATGCATAACTGTTATATCGCAATCACTGTTGCAGATATGATTATACAAGGTATGAGTAACACATAGTAACAGATGGCCATATATGATTATGTGACTGTAATATCTCAAGCATTGTTGCTAATAGGGCCATGCAGTCAGTGCAGCATTAAAACCATTGGACTAGAGATTGCACTAACACAACATATGACCATATTTGGTCATGTTACTTCATCACTATGCATATCTTTATTAGGGACGACGTCAAAAGATCGATGTCGGATAAAAAACTTAATTCCTTTAGTTTTTTTCCAAACCCCCCTACCCCCCACTGAGACTTAATTGATAAATATTGGTCATGGCGTCAGACTACATTCACCATTAAATACAAATTGATAATCGGGCAGTAATATTGCATGGCAGTTGGTTATCGGGTGGGTGTAAAAAGATTTTACAAATGCACCTCATTTGACGCAAATTTACACTCGAACCAAACCATTTTTCTATATTTTTTCCCTTTTCGGTTA